GGATGTTTCTCTCTCTCTCTCCGTCTCTAAAATCAATGAAATTCTATTTTTTTAAATATATTTTATTGATTTTTTGAAGAGAGAAAGGGAGAGAGATAGAGAGTCAGAAACATCGATGAGAGAGAAACATTGATCAGCTGCCTCCTGCACACCTCCCACTGGGGATGTGCCCGCAACCAAGGCACAAGCCCTTGACCGGGAATCGAACCCGGGACCCTTCAGTCCGCAGGCCGACGCTCTATCCACTGAGCCAAACCGGTTTTGGCCTTGAAAGTCTATTTTTTAAAAATATTGACAGAATAAAGAGGAAAAATAAGGCAGTTGTTCCAAATACCGACACAAACATGGATCTTGATTTCAGCGGTGGCTACACTAATTGCAGCTGCACCTGTGAGAAACCCCATAGACGTGTGTGTGTGTGTGTGTCTGTGTGTGAGTGTGTGTGTGTGTGTGTGTGTGGGTGTGTGTGTGCACGTTGCACCAACGTCAATTTTCTGCTTTCATCACGCTCTACAACAGTGGTCCTCAACCTTCCCAACGCCGCGACCCTTGAATGCAGCTCCTCATGTTGTGGGGACCCCCAACCATAGGGGGCTGAGGTATCCCCCCCCCCATGCACGAATTTCATGCACGGGGCCTCTGGTCATAACACAAAAAACTCTGTCGTTAGAACGAGCCATCTGGGGCACCAGCGAGCAAGCCCAAAAGAGGATTTGATTGGAACGGCTTTTATTTATGACTGAAGAGGGCATGTCCCAGGAGGCTGGGAGATTAAAAGATAATCCATGCAAGGTATTTAGCAAAATACAGAGGCGGACATCGGGGGAGGGGGGGGAGGCCATGGTTAGGTACTCTGTCATTATTGCAAAATTAACCGCTTTTTACGGGAACCCGTGCACGTACCTTGGAGCACTGCTTGTGACTCTGGCACCAGTCCAGGGAGCCATTGTTCTGCAAAGACAGAAAGACACGCCGACAGGTTACAAGGCCGTCCGACGGGACCCGCACGCGTAGCTGTGTGCGCGAGGGGCGTTTTTAAAGATCTGCCCCAACAGGGGCCGGACGCTGGCATCCTGGGAGGTTTCCCTCTCCCTAAAACGGTAAGTGGGGCCCGGGCGGCGTGGCTCGGTGGCTGAGCGTCGGCGACCTAGGAACCAGGAGGTCACGGTTCCATTCCCGGTCAAGGGCACACGCCCGGGTTTCGGGCTCCATCCCCGATAGGGGATGTGCAGGAGGCGCCCGATCCATGGTTCTCTCTCATCATGGATGTTTCTCTCTCTCTCTCCCTCTCCCTTCCTCCGAGCATGGAGCGCAGACCCGAAGGACGATGGGCCACAGACAGCTCCTGGGTACAGAGATTTGGGTCAAGTCAGGAGCTGGGCGCCCTGCGGCTCCTCATCTCACTCGGCTCACAGCGCATTCGAGCTGCGCAGCCCGGCCTCACGTGAAAAGCCGCCTCCCCCCGTTAGTGGAGGTGTGACATGAGCCGGGGACTATGGAGCCCAGGGCCTCAGTTTACCCCCGAGATAGCGAAGGACGACACCTCCTGGGTGAGGTCGCAGGAACGAACGAAATCACACACACACACAGACCACGTACCGTGGCCTGGCATCCACTCAATAGCAAACAAGTATTAGGACAAAGGCAGAGGCAGTTAGGGGCGATCAGGCCGGCAGGGGAGGGCAGTTAGGGG